CATCCCCCGAGGGCTGCCGGGCTGCCAGAGGGATGTCTGATTGCCATCTTAGGCCCAATCCCCCGGGGAGCAGGCCTAAGCCAGCAGGTGGTCATCCCCCGAGGGGTCCCAGACTGCGAGAGGGCACAGGCCGGGCTGAGGGACCCCTCGCCCCGAGTGCACAAATTTTTGTGCACCGGGCCTCTAGTATAAATAGAAGAAGATAGTTTTGTTTTATTTTGGAATTAGGAGCCATTGTGTTCCCTAAGGACCTGCTACTGCTTTAGGGGAAAAGAAGTTAATGGAAAAGGAAATAAGTCCAAACAAATGTTACCTTTGTACTATAGACCTATTCACTCCTCTTTTTTTTAGAGATACACATCTACTTTTCCTGTTTGTACTCTACTAGTACTACTGTCCACAGGGCTGGACAACCTGAAATACCTATTCTTTTAACTTTATCATAATTTGAATTTACTATTCTGGTAAATACAATATAGAATACCTAACATAATATGGAAGGTAGAGAACAATAAATACTTGATTTTCTAACATATGTAACTCAAAATGGGAGGTCATATTTGCTAAATACTACAGATTGTTATCATAGTGTTAACGTAAGAAACATTCAAACCTGTGAAGAATTTTTGTGAGTTTATTTGAGCCAAATTGTTGACAAATGCTATGAAGCAGAATCTCAACACATTGAGTTTATGCTATGGAGAAGTGCAGTTTTTCACTTACTTTATACATTAAAAGCAAAAGAGGAGATGTAAGTGGGTTACTTGAAATCCATTGGTGGTTGGTTAGGGATGTGGGAGAAGGCAAAGTGGGGAAACCTCTGGGATTGGATAAAAAGTAAAATGATAGACAGTACATCTTTTACTTAGGTGGGCACAGGATAGTTAACAGTCAACAATTAACTCAATAAGAATGAGGGGATTTGCAGTCTCTGCAGAGGCGTATCTGTGCTTTGAGAGGTCCAGAAAAAGAAAAATTACTTTGATATTCCAACAATAATTTATCGTAGGTGCAAAATGACAATAGACAGGTTCAGTTAAGGTAAAGATTGACCTTTGTCAGGGAAGATACTGGCCAAGGACATGACTACCCACCATAAACTTTTTTAGTTAACTTCAGACCATACTTTGTGGTTACTTTAGGTCTCTGAGTTTGCAAGGCTGCCAGACAGGCCCTGAGCTTGTCAGATTAGCATGTGGCCCCTTTTTGTCCACAATAGAGTATGTATACTTTGATCTATATCTGTATTTTTTTTTTAAGAAATTTTTCTTTATTGTTGAAAGTATTACAGATGTTCCTTTTTTCCCCCCTCACATTGGACCCCTCAACCCCTCTTCCTCACAGGCCTTCACTGCACTATTGTCTGTGTTCATAGGTTATGCATATCCTCCTATATAATAAAAGACAAATATGCAAATTGTTCCCTTGACCCGGAGTTTGACCAGAGGGCAGGGCCAGCCAGCCAACCACGTGAAGCCCCTCCCCCTGGCCAGCTCAGCTTGATCTGCCCAATTGGGGCAAGCCGGCTGGACTCCACCCATGCACAAATTTGTGCACCGGGCCTCTAGTATGCATAGAAATTCTTTGGTTAATCTCTGCCCATCCCTTCCTTCCCCCATATCTGTTCTTAGTGGCAACTGCAAGTTGAACAGTCTACAAAAGACAAAAAGAAAAGTTGCAATATTTTGAAAATAAAATCTGTTATCTTGTTATCAAGAAATATGAAAAAATATATATTAATAGGTAAATAAGTAATAACTGTAGATCTTTAGCCAGTGTTATGATGAACTTTGATTCAATGGCATAGCCTTCTGGCTTTAATTACAGAGCTCCTGCAAGGCTTCTGAGTGTCTTTGTTGTTAACCTTTTATTTGGAAATAATTTCAAACTACAAAAATTGCTCAAATAAAAATGGTCTCTCCCCAACCCTTATACACCCAAATTTACGTACTGAAACCTCCTGCTTGCTTTATCATCTGAGTGCCTCTTTCTCTCTTTCCCTTCCCCTCACCCCTCATACACACTTTTTTCTTGAAACATTTAAAAATATATTAGATCTCCATCATGGTCCTTTACCATTAAATACTTCCTAATAGAGACATTCTCTTACATAATCACAGTACAGTTATCAACTTCATAAATTTATATTGATATTTTAATCTACCATTCATATTCTTATTTAATCAGTTGACCTAATAATGTCTTTTGTAGCATCTTCCATCTCGGTACATCTTGTCATCCAGACTTTGTCTTTTATGATGTTGACATTTTTGAAGAATACAGTCTCTCTGCCCTTTTATTTAAGAACTAGAGGCCTTGTGCACAAAATTTGTGCATTCGGGGGGGTGGTCCCTCAGCACGGCCTGTGCCCTCTCGCAGTCTGGGAGCCTTTGGAGGATGTCCAACTGACGACTTAGGCCTGCTCCCCATAGGAGTGCTGTGGAGGTGGGAGAGGCTCCCGTCACCACCGCTGCACTTGCCAGATGTGAGCCCAGCTTCTAGCTGAGTGGCGCTCCCCCTGTGGGTGCTCCCCTGGCTTCTAGCTGAGCAGCATTCCTCCTGCATTGAGCGTCTGCCCCCTGGTAGTCAGTGCGCGTCATAGAGGCTGGTCGTTCCACCGCTGGGCCGAAACCGGCTCTCCGACATCCCCCGAGGGGTCCCAGATTGTGAGAGGGTGCAGGCCAGGCCGAGGGACCCCACCAGTGCACAATCAGGGCCGGGGAGGGATGCAGGAGGTTGGCCAGCCAGGGAGGGATCGTGAGAGGGCTCCAGGGTGTGTCCGGCCTGTATCATTCAGTCCCGATCGCCCGGACCCCAGCAGCAAGCTAACCTACCAGTCAGAGCATCTGCCCCCTGGTGGTCAGTGCACGTCATAGCAAGCAGTTGAGTGGCCTTAGCATATCATTAGCATATTATGCTTTGGTTGAATGGCCAACTGGATGACCGGACACTTAGCATATTAGGCTTTTATTATATAGTATTGAGATTTCCTCCTTCTGTGCTTGTCTGGTGTTTCTTGTGCTCAGATGCAGCTTGTGTATACTTGGTGAGGATTCTGCATAGCTGATGTGTCCTCCCCTTAGAGCAGTGGTTGGCAAACTGTGGCTCGCGAGCCACATGCGACTCTTTGGCCCCTTGAGTGTGGTTCTTCCACAAAATACCACGTGCGGGCGCGCACATACAGTGCGATTGAAACTTCGTGGCCCATGCGCAGAAGTCAGTATTTCGTGGAAGAGCCACATTCAAGGGGCCAAAGAGCTGCATGTGGATCGCGAACTGCAGTTTGCCGACCACTGCCTTAGGGCATCAGTCTATCATTCAGGGATGTTATTAATTTTGGTCACTAGTCAAGGTATTGTCTGAACTCTTCCCTATATAATTACTGTTTATGAAATTCTTGTAAATAATAAGCAGTGTGTGGGGAATACTTTAAGACCATTCAAATATCCTGCTTCTCATCAAAATTTTCACCTAGATTTAACTCCATTGCTGATTTTTGACCTTATTCAGTCTTTACTATGATGATACAAAATGCTAATTTTTCCAACTGCAGCCCTCCTTTCATATTTACCAGTAGAAACTTGGCATTTTATTGCAATAAGAGTCTTCCCTTTCCCCCATATATTATTTATTTTATGTATTTATTATCAGTATGGACTTGTGAATTTCTTTTTCCCTAATGATTGATAATTTAGTAGTTAATTATTTTGGTATTTAAACTCTTCCAAATGTTGTTGGTGGCATGCTCCCATCCTTTTTTATTTTTTTAGTTAAATTACATTTGTTCTTTCTAGAATAATCTGATGTTAAAGGCTGATCTTTTATCTACCCTGCCAGTCCTGGTATCAACCACTTGTGTGAGAAGCCTTGGTTCCTTTGGTGGGGATTAGAATTAGATAACAAAATCTGGGCACTAGATTTGAGTGCATTATTTTTACAGCCACTTTATAAACAAATGTAATAACATAAGCATACCTGGTAAATATTTCTTAGAAGTACAATAAGCACTTTTTGAGGATGTAATGGTGTCTCAGTTTGTAGTACAGCAATAAGTTAAATACAGTTTGCTCTCCTTATGATGGGCACTTGCACCTTAAGTCCTTCTTGGTAAAGGGTGTGCCCCAGAAATAAGCATGGTTAACTTTCAGGTTTAGGTTTTGCTCAAATATTGCATTCTCAGCAGGGTCTACCCTTAACTCCTCACTGACTGGCTCTTCCCCCTCCTACATGCACATTTTCCAGTCCCCTTTATCTTATTCTATTTTTGCCTTCTGGTATTTATCACCTAAATTACCTTATAATTATTCATTACTTTGTCTGCCGACACTAGAGTTTGAGCTCCAGAATGGCAGAGATTGTTTTTATTTTATTATTATTTATTTCGCTCATTGGTCTCATCTGTCATAAGCAACAGAATAGTATCTGGCACATAGTAGGCCCTCAGTAAACATTGTTAAAGAGGAAGGACAACTGAGAACATAAAATCAGTAAGTTACCAGGCTTCTAGCACACAGCTCACTTGAGAAAGTAAGTACAAGAAAGGATGGGCTACTGCGTGAATCAACTTGTGTTCTTGGATCTGAGCCTATGACTGCAATTGGCCTGGATAAAATAGGCCTGGAAAGTACTGCATATGCTGTCCCCTCGCTAGAAAATCTACATTAGCATGTTAATCACTATAAGAACCCCTGTAGTAACCTCTTCTTGAACTCACTTGATCACAGAACTCTCTTGGGTAACTCACATATCATAAGGACACTCCTGGCAAACAGTTGGAGAAAAAGCATACTGGAGAACTGCATGGAGGCCCCTGGAGAGGTGGCAGTTCTTTTTAGCTGCTTCTGTTTGTCGGTGAGCTGTGCTGCTTGAGAAGGAAGCTAGAGTCCCTCCAGCTCGTAGTTACTCCTCTTACAGTGAAGGTCTTTTTCAAACGTAACTTTTATTTTAGGTTTTCGGGAATAAGATGATCATTCCTTCCCTGGATGGAGACCTCTTCCAGTGGGACCGAGACCGTGAGAGCATGGAAACAGTTCCTTTTACAGTTGAATCACTTCTTGAATCTTCTTACAAATTTGGAGATGATGTTGTTTTGGTTGGAGGGAAGTCTCTCACTACCTATGGGCTCAGTGCATGTACTGGAAAGGTGAGTGAAAATACTGAATTTACTTGGGGAGAAATCAGAATAAATTATAATAGAAATAGTTTCTTAAACTATACTATTACTGTTTGAGGTTTATTAAAATTTTCCCCAAGGATATCATTTGGTGTAATAAAAGAACTATATATAAAGTGGAACGGGGAAATATTATTAAGAGAAACTAGCTTTATCCAAGATAACAGAATGAACAGCAGACCCAGGACAGCAGAAGCAAGACAGCAGGTTCTTCTCTTTGGTAGTGCACTTATTGCACATTATTTTGAAATCCTCACAGTATTCCTAAGGCTTACATATTTTTGTTTCCATTTGGATGGATGAAGAACCCTCCAAAGATTAATAATCATAATAAGAATAATATACCACTTATTTCTTTATCTAGTTTGATTCTATAATAAGAGGATCCAAGAAGAAAGTTGTACTTATGTTAAAGTTGAGAAAACTGAGACTTTAAAAGGGTCAGAAACTTTCAAGGTCAGATTTGACTTGATCTGTCTGGTGACAGTCATGCTGATAAGCCCTAGACTTTGTCCGTTATTAGCTCTTAGGATGTGATCATAATCTGCTTCTAAAATTGCATCTTGCGCCCTAGCTGGTTTGACTCAGTAATAGAGCATCAGCCTGCAGACTGAAGTGTCCCAGATTCGATTCCCATCAAGGGCACATGCCTGGTTGCGGGCTGGATCCCCAGTAGGGGGCATGCAGGAGGCAGCCGATCAGTGATGCTCTCTCATCATTGATGTTTCTACCTCTCTGTTCCTCTCCCTTCCTATCTGAAATAAAAAAATATATATATTAAAAAAATAAAAAAAAAATAAAATTGCATCTTGCAATTAAAATCCATTATTAGGAATGACCAATTAAAAACATCTTTTTTAGAAAGGTAAAATCTTTTTTTAATCCCTAACACCTTGGTATGTGACTGTCTTATATATAGACTTAAGACTAAAACAAGGAAAAATAGAAAAATTATCTTTTGACCCTTGAGTTTTTCATACTTGAGCGATTCCCTGTGTAAGTGTTAGGTCCGTAGTACTTCTGCAGATGCTTTCTACCTCACCTCCTGATACTGTAGTGCATTGATAAGGCCTTGAGTCCTCTGTGTATTTCAGTGTTCCCTGTAAACACTGCCATGAACCAGATCCTCAGGTCTCTGATTTGATGTGCTTCCACAAAATTCTGGTATTCTGGTAGGTATGCTTTTTTCTGTTAGGATTTTAGTTTGGTTCATACTAAGATTTTTCCTTTTTCTTTTAATGAAGATTTGAAGGAAGTACTTTGAAATACTGCAGCTATTAGAAGAGGTTCAAATTTTTAAAAACCAACTACTTCTGTAATATGGAAACTCTGAGGTTGATATTTTTAATTCATCTGAAATTGTATTGATGTTGTTAAGATATCAAAACTGGTTACCCATTTCTTTTTATATTTATTTATTTATTTATTTATTTATTTATTTTTATTGTTGTTATTTATTTATTTATTTTACCCATTTCTTTTTGTATATTCCATGGAATGCTCCAAGTAAGACTAAAATTATCTAAGTCCTTAAAATCATTCCCTGGAATATTCATTGCTGCTTTTATGATTCTAAATAACTAATTTTAGGAGTTGGTAATCTACGATGCTTCTGAATATTTGGGTGCTTCTTCCATACTTTTCTTTTTAAAAAAATATAAAATAGAGATTCTTTTAATGGCTCTGGCCTCCTGTAACTTGTATTTTTTAAAACTAATTTTAAAAAATATTTATATTAGGCAGAGCTGCCTCAAACAGATTGTCAAACTGCAGCGGGAAGGCCGGGGAGGGTTGGGGGGCAGGAGGGAGGGGTTAAGAGATCAACCGAAGGACTTGTATGCATGCATATAAGCATAACCAATGGACATAAGACACTGGGGGGTAGGGGAGGCCAGGGGATTGTCAAAGGTGGGGAAAAAAAGGAGGCATATGTAATACTCTTTGTAATACTTTAAGCAATAAAAAAAAAGATTAAAAAATATTTTTATTGATTTCAGAGAGGAAGGGAGAGGGAGAGAGAGATAGAAACATCAATGATGAGAGAGAATCATTGATCGGCTGCTTCCTGCATGCCCTCACTGGGGATTGAACCCGCAACCTGGGCATTTGCCCTTTACTGGATTCAAACCCGAGACACTCCAGTCCACAGGCCGACGCTGTATCCACTGAGCCAAACCAGCTAGGGCTAAACTAATTTTATATGTTTTTTCAGGTGAGGTACATCTGTTCAGCATTGGGTTGTCGCCGATGGGATAATGATGAAATGGAACAAGAAGACATCCTGCTTCTGCAGCGCACCCAGAAAACTGTTAGAGCTGTCGGGCCTCGCAGTGGCAATGAGAAGTGTGTATTCAGATCATGTAGCTGCTAGTGTTATTTAGAACCACACCAAGACTAAAACTATTCAGATTTTTCTTTGAAGATTTTTTTGAACTCTTTTGGTTCCTTAGAAGCATACTATTCTTTTAAGAAAAATGTAAGCCCTAAATTAAAAATGGCCTCATGATTATTAACAAATTCTGTACTGGGCTTCTCTCCATATGCTTTAGGATATGGTAACTAGAAGGAGTCTCATACGATGATGATATATGAGTTTAGTTTTAGGTTAACGATAATTTTCAGAGCAAGCTTACTGATCAACATTTTTTCAATGCAAAAGTCTCAAGAGAAAGTTAATGTGCTTTATTTCAGCCCTGACCATTTTTACTCTGAGTTCTCTCTGTTATGTAGTAGTTTCATAGTTTTTCTGATTACCCCGATTTTAAAATAATATTTTAGTCTATTTTCTTCTTAAAGTATGAAGATATAATTTATTTGGTCAAAAAAAGTTTTTTTTCAAATAATGAATTCCTTATATAATTTTTATTTTTAAATATGTGATTAAAAATAAGATGGTTGGATAAGTTGTGCTGTTCTTAAATTACATACATGTGTGATTTTTAAAAACCTAATATTTATTTTTTAATATTTTTTATTGATTTCAGAGAGGAAGGGAGAGATAGAAACATCAATGATGAGAGAGAATCATTGATTGGCTGCCTCCTGCACACCCCCCACTGGGGATTGAGCCCACAACCTGGGCATGTGCCCTTGACTGGAATTGAATCTGGGACTCTTCAGTCCACAGGCTGACCCCCTATCCACTGAGCCAAACCAGCTAGGCCTAAAAACCTAATATTTAAATGTTAAATTGCCTTTGTAGTAATAATAATTTTTGATCCAATTTTTATCTTTGGAAAGTGAGCCAGATTTTCGTTTCTTTTTTTTTTCTTGTTTTGTTAATCTTCACCTGAGGATATTTTCCCATTGATTTTTAGGGAGCATGGAAGAGAGAGGGAAAGAAAGAGAGAAACATCGATGTGAGACATCAATTGGTTACCTCCTGCACTAGCCCTGACCAGGGTCCGGGTCAGGGAGGAGCCTGTAACCAAGGTACATGCCCTTGATAGGAATCGAACCCGGGACCCTTTGATCTGCAGGCCAATACTATATCCACTGAGCCAAACCAACTAGGGCTAATCCAGATTTTCAAATTTATATATGATGCAGTACAATTCACTTTCCTTTCCTGAAAGTTGTTTTCTCTAACTCATTTAAGAAAGCATTTTTAAACATTTTATTTTCTTACATTCACTGGACTGTGAGTAACATTTTATATCTGCTGGCAACCTAACCTTTTGTATTCTTGATAGGATTTTGCTTTATTTTTATTATTTTTTAAGTGCTCGAGTGCTTGCCTCGAAGTGCTCAGCTACCATAGGAACAGATGTTCAAATTAATTAGAATTTTGAGTCACTATAAAGGAAGAGCCTGGGGGTCTAAGACCTATGTTCCTTAAGTATATATTTTTAGTAGATGTAATTTTAAGGCCATTTTATATGTAAGTGACAAGATATTATACTGTTAATAGTTAAGTGATTTTTCTGTAAATTAAATATAGAGGGAATATTATTATTATCACTTTATGGATAAGGACATTGAAACTCAGGAAAGGGTAAGTGACTTGCCAGCTCTCAGTCAATAGAGATTGGAGGTAAGTTGTGTGACCTTCAGGTATACTTGGTCACATTGCCTTTCAGGACATGTTTTCACATAAATTTAAAATTGATGTATTCATCTTGCCTTTTACATTGGCTTATTGGGAGATACTAATTTCTCTACACTTGAATGAAATGTGCCCAGACTTGAATTAAGAAGTAAGTCTGACTGCATGCTGCTATCCCATTTTAAGATGACTTTGATGTGTTTTAAGAAAATCATCCTGATTTGGAATTGTGAACATTTGTTAATTTTTGAGAGAAAATCTGTCCCATAGCTGATGTCAGCTCACAACTTTCCAAACCCTGACAAAGTTATGCCCTCTTGTGGCATATATTAGCAGCGCTTCTTTCCTGAAGATTGTGTTGAGTTCCTTTTCTCATCACCAAATCTTAATGTTTGCTATTTCCCTGTAGAAAAGTTATTTATTTGGCTCCCTCTTTTCAAGTGTAAATTTCTAAAACATGCATTTGTAAATTTAAGGTGGAATTTCAGTGTTGGCCACTTTGAACTTCGGTATATTCCAGACATGGAAACTAGAGCCGGATTTATTGAGAGCACTGTAAAACCCAGTCAGAACAAAGAGTCTGAAATTATCTCAGATGTGGAAGAACAGGAAGCTGCCATAGTGGACACAGTGATAAAAGTCTCTGTTGCGGATTGGAAGGTTATGGCCTTTAGCAAGAAGGGAGGACATCTAGAATGGGAATATCAGGTAACTAAAACCACTGAGAATTTATGAACTGTTTCTTCCTTTTTCAGTTTGACCAAACATATTGGGTAGTGGGAAACGATGCCAATTTGGATTTTATCTTGTTCTCTATGCATTAAGAAATTTGTGGTTTTATACCTGTTAGAATGGCTATTATGAAAAAGACAAAAGAGAGTTATTGGTGAATGGTGTATAACAGTGTATCTATGTGCACTGTTGGTGAGAATGTAAATTGGTGCAGCCACTGTGGAAAACAGTATGTAACTTCCTCAAAAATAGACCTGCCATATGATCCAGCAATCCCACTTCTGGGTATATTACCAAAGGAAGTGAAAGCAACATCCCAAGGAAATATTTGCCCTCTCATGTTCACTATAGCATTATTCACAGTAGCCCAGATATAGAATCAGTCTAAGTGTCCATTATTGGATGGATGGGTAAAGGAAATGTGGTGTGTATTTTTACAGTGGAATATTATCCAGCCTTAATAAAGGGAATCCTGTCATTTGCAACATTAACACGTTAAGTGCCCAGCCTGTTTTGTCTTCCAGATGGAAAGTATAGTGTCAGTCACCGGTGACTGACTGGGCACTTAATGTGTTAATGAATCTGGAGGGCATTATGCCAAGGGAAATGAATCAGACACAGAAAGTTAAATACTGCATCATTTCACCTATATGTGGAATCTAAAAAAGTTGAAATTATAGAAGCAGAGAGTAGATTGTGATTGCCATGGCCTAGGGGAAGGAGAAATGGGGAGATGTTGGTCAAGGGTACAGAGTTTCAGTTAAGTAGGATGACTAAATTCTGGAGATGTAATGTATAGCATGGTGATGAGTGTAGTTGGTAATTCTGTATTGTATACTTGAAATTTGCAAGAGTATAGATTTTTTAAGAAAAAACTTTCTAGCTTTATTGAGTATAATTGACAAGTAAAAACTATCTATTTGGTTTGTACATTGTGCTGATTTGATATATATACACATTGTGAAATTATTACCACACATACAAAATAACTGTGAGGTGATAGGTGTGTTAATTAGCTTAGTTGTGCTAATCATTTCACAGTGTATACATATATCAAAATATCACATTTTGCTCTATATATACATTTTTGTCAATTATGCCTCAATAAATCTAGAAAAATAAGAAATATAAAACAAATTTGTGATTGTAAATAGTATTTTAGAAGTTGGAATACTTAAAGAATGCTTCAAATTATTTTAAACTTTTTTTTCACTTTTGTTTAGTTTTGTACTCCCATTGCGTCTGCCTGGTTGGTGAAGGATGGCAAAGTCATTCCCATCAGTCTTTTTGATGATACAAGTTATGCATCTAATGATGGTGTTTTAGAAGATGAAGAAGACATTGTAGAAGCTGCCCGAGGAGCCACAGAAAACAGTGTTTACTTGGGTGAGTGTCTCTCATCTAGTGATAATACAAATTGATATCTAGATTTGATTCCTACACTGTGCTGATAGTAATTTTAATTCCTAAGTACAGTCTCTGCCTTAGGTTGCCCTGAGATTTATACTTTGGTTTTCATTCATGCTATTTTGTTTCACTTAACCCAGCGGTTCTCAACCTGTGGATCGCGACCCCTTTGGGGGTCGAACGACCCTTTCACAGGGGTCGCCTAAATGCATCCTGCATGTCAGATATTTACATTACAATTCATAACAGTAGCAAAATTACAGTTATGAAGTAGCAACAAAAATAATTTTATGGTTGGGGGTCACCACAACATGAGGAACTGTATTAAAGGGTCGCGCATTAGGAAGGTTGAGAACCACTGACTTAACCAGTTCTGAAACTTTTAATTGCTATAGCTTTTTTTTCTCTCTGAGACCTATATAGGAAGGCTTAGAAATGTTGCATATACATATGTGTGTGTGTGTGTGTGTGTGTATATGTGTATGTATATATATATATGTATGTGTATGTATATATATATATATATATATGTGTGTGTGTGTGTATATATATATATATATATATATTCTATATAATAAAAGGCTAATATGCAAATCACCCAGACGGCAGAATGACTGGTCGCTATGACAAGCACTGACCACTAGGGGGCAGACGCTCAACTCAGGAGCTGCCCCCTGGTGGTCAGTGTGCTCCCATAGTGGGAGCCCTGCTCAGACAGAAGCCAGGCTCACAGCTGACGAGCACAGCGGTGGTGAAGGGAGCCTCTCCTGCCTCTGTGGCAGTGCTAAGGATGTCCGACTGCAGGGAGTGGGCCTAAGCCATCAGCAGTCGGACATCCCCCGAGGGCTCCCGGACTGCGAGAGGGTGCAGGCCAGGCGGAGGGATCCCCCCGAGTGCATGAATTTCATGCACTGGGCCTCTAATATATATATGGCATGATTTCAAATTACTGATATGTCCTTAAAGTCTAAAACTTTCTACATTTGTATTTGTAGTTGCAATTTGTTCCTCCCTTAAAGATTATATTTATTGATTTTTTTAAAAAGACATGGATGAATTTTTTAAAATATATATTTTTATTGATTTCAGAGAGGAAAGGAGGGGGAGAGAGAGATAGAAACATCAGTAATGAGAGAGAATCATTGATCGGCTGCCTCCTGCACGTACCCCCCACTGGGTTGAGCCTGCAACCCAGGCATGTGCCCTTGACTGGAATTGAACCTGACCCTTCAGTCTGCAGGCCGACGCTCTATCCACTGAGCCAAACCAGCTAGGGGTATTTTTTTCTTTGCATTTATACAACTTATCTGAAAAATAAAAATAAAATTTTGTAGTGCTTCTGGGCAATTGAAGGCCTTTAGTATAATAACTTTTGAAAAACCCTGAATCTAATTTTTGAACTAGTGTTGGTGGTCAGATACAAATTTCTTTAAGCTCTGTCAGTGTGTTATCCACCACTCATTCTCAATGAAATGCAAGAATTTGAAAGATTAACATGTCACATATGTTTTATGATAATATTTAACTGAATTGTTAGCAATGTCTCTGGAATTATAGGTGTTTAGGTTTCCTTAAGGAGAATGTTACTTCATCTAAGTTACTAATCTCATAAGAGTACATAGACCTCTTTGAATTTTCCTACTGAGTGAGTTTTCCAGTAATGACTGAAAGTTGTTATTCAGTGAGAAACATTGTATGGACCTTATGTGTAACTTTCATGCCATATTTTTATTGAATAGCCTTTGGGTCCTTTGAGTGCATCAAGCATGATTCTTCTCTGAGAAAAGTTGTATAATACATGAAAGATAACTGAAATTAACCTAACATTATTAAATCAAAATGAGCCTTTTTGAAAAAGAATTATTGGTGTTTGATTCCAAACATAATTGACAATATTCTTGTTGATTCAGGAATGTACAGAGGCCAGCTGTATCTGCAGTCATCTGTCAGAATTTCAGAAAAGTTTCCTACAAATCCCAAGGCCTTGGAATCTGTTAATAATAAAAATGAAATTACTCCTTTGCCAACAATCAAATGGAAACCCTTAATACGTAAGTGAATTGTAAACTTTTTAAAAGTTTATTAACATGTTCACAGGGCTGATCATGATGTCTTTGCCCTAGTTTTGACTGTCACAGAGATGACAACATTATATTTTCTGATAAACTAGAAAGATATTTCAGATGTTAATGCATTTTTTAAATCCTCACCTGAGCACATGTTTACAGAGAGGAAGGGGGTGGTGGGAGAGGGAAACATTGATCAGTTGCCTTCCCTATGCACCCCAACTGGGGATCAAACCTGAAACCCAGGTATGTACCCTGACCAGGAATCGAATTGGCAACCTTTCATTGTACAGTATGACACTCAACCAACTGAGCCACTCCGGCTGGGCAGATGTTAATTATTTTTTTATTTTATTTTATTATTTTTTCATGTATATTTTTATTGATTTCCAAGAGGTAGAGAGAGAGAGAGAGAAACATCAGTGATAAGAGAGAATTATTGATAAGCTGCCTCCTACACCCCCCTATTGGGGATTGAGCCTGCAACCTGGCATGTGCCCTGATGGGAATTGAACTGTGACCTCCTGGTTCATAGGTCAGTGCTCAACCACTGAGCCATGCCGGCTGGGCAATGAATTTTAATTAGCATTTAGAACAGGATTTCATTGAAACAGCAGTTCCTTCGCTAGAACACAATGTTAATAAAATATTTCTCTGTACAATTTAGAAAAACTTTTAACCATTCACCAACCATGCCTGTGTGTCAGCTCTTAACCTACCTATATCAAGAATATTTATGAGAAAATTATCTGGTCATATCATATTTTTTTGAAACATTTAATGAATTAAAATCAAATACTAGGCTACCTACTTCTTCAGTTATGTTTTTGTCCCTTATGTATATTTTTTATCACATGCTTTTAATTACTTGTTTATAAGATTCGTCTTCTCTACAAGACTGCTTTTTAAGGGAAAGAACCTTGAGCCATTTGTTTGACTTCCATGTTTGAATTAAACTGTGGTTAAATCGCTGTTTTTTTAATGAATGAGGTACATGCATTTTCATGAAAGTCATAGCGGTTAAGCTTTTACATTTTCTTTTAGATTCTCCTTCGAGAACTCCTATCTTGGTAGGGTCTGATGAATTTGACAAATGTCTTAGTAATGATAAGTTTTCTCATGAAGAGTACAGTAATGGCGCACTTTCAATCTTGCAGTATCCATATGGTAAGTGTGATTACGCTTGGATTGAAAATGCTGTTTTGTTTTTAATTTATTTTATGTATTAATTTGAAATTAATTAATAGAATTCAAATGAAAGATAGTCATTTGAGGGGTAGAAAATAAAATACCGTGAAAGGCAATATTGTGAATGTTGGCCAAGGTGCAAACTCCAAAGTCAGTTGCCAGGGTTCCAATTAGTTTTGCCACATACTGAGATGGGCACCTAACTTTACTGTCTTGGTTCCTTCATCTGTAAAACAAGGATGGCGACCCTCGTGTCTGTTTCTTGGGGTGTTGTGAGACCTAAGTGAGATAATGCACATACAGTGTTAACACCGTACCTGGCAAATAAGTATTCAGTAAGCATTAGTTCTTCTTACTAGTTATTTTTCAATTATCAGCCTGTATAATGTAGTCAATATAAAATCAGTCAGTATAATGAAGAAAACAGGTGTTTGCATAGAGCTATGTGAAAATGCTGTAAAATGAAGTTTTACTTTTGTTTGCAGACCAAATTATTGCAAAAGTCAAGAATAGGTGAACCTTGGCATGAAATACATTCCTATGTATTTAAAATTAGGATATATTTACATACGAAAGTCTTTTGAACAGTTAGATATAAAAAAGTCCTCAATCTGCATTAGACAAAACATAGATTCCTCATCAGTAACCTTAGATGCTAGGACTGGGAAATGATTGTAGAACTTAAATTGATAAAAACAAAACAAAACAGAGGGCTCTGAACTAGAAGCAGCACCCTTTATCTGATTTGATCAAAATTCCGGGTTAGAGAAAACTGTGTAATCTGCCCACAAAATTCAATATTGGAGACAAACTCAGCGTGGAATGAACCAAGGAGTATAATAGAGATGTTTTCCTTCCAGCCTGTGAGGAATGATTCATGGTAAAATCTGGCATTTGATTGACACTAAATGAAAGTAAAGTTTAAAATCCTTCAAGGAAGTTGAGTACTGTCTAATTATTTTCTTGCATTTAAAGGATTTAATTATTAATGAGGAAATCAGTGGGATGCCCCTTACATTTTTTCTAGTTTTATTATTCAGTATAAAGAAAATTTATAATGCTTATGGAATAAAGGAAAATGTATTTGCATAATAAAAAAGAAAAAATCAGATAAATGAGGCTATCAAATGTGTTAAAGAAGAAATGAGGCTTTTACAAAAGGAATTAATGTTATAAGTCATAGGAAAATTGATAATTTTTAGTAAATAAAGATGAATCTACTTTGGTTTATCTTTTTAAAAATTAAAACAACCTTTTAATGTTTGTTTTTGCAGATAATGGTTATTATCTACCATACTACCAGAGGGACAGGAGCAGACGGAGCATAGGGAGCACCCAGATCACAGTCCGAGTTCTGAAGAGCCCAGACTACAGCAAGAATGTCCGCAGAAAGGACCCTGTTCTCCTCCTACATTGGTGGAAAGAAATAGCCGGGACTATTCTGTTCTGTATCATAGCAACAACTTTTATTGTGCGCAGACTTTTCCATCCTCATCCTCACAGAGTAAGACATATTTTAGAATCTAATTTATTTCAGCGTTGGGAGTTTCAAAAATAAATGTGTGTATTTGGGAGGTACATTTACTTAAGTTTTACTATAAAGTCATTGTTTCCCACATGCTGTTTCCACTTCCTTATCTTTCGTTTACTCCTCAACCATTGCAGTCTGGCTCCCATCCGTTTCATTTCCCTTCCATTTCACAAGGTAGATGTGGTATTTTGTGTTCTTATAATGCTTTTCTTTTTCTCAATATTATTTATTTATTTTTCAATGTTATTTTATAGCTTAAGGTAATTAGCTAACTTTAATTCAGATTTGTACTAATAGTGATGTCTCCCCTCCCCCCACCTTATCAGCAAAGGAAGGAATCTGAAACTCAGTGTCAAACTGAAAGTAAATATGATTCTGTAAGTGGAGAAGCTAATGACAGCTGGAATGACATAAAAAATTCTGGATATATATCACGGTAAGAGTCTTGTCATAAAATATGTATGTATGCTGTAGCTTCTGGTGGCGACTATTTGGATCTAAGAATGACCTACAAAGTAAGATCTTGTTTAACTATTTTTTCAATGTGTGAATAGGTAAATAAAATGTAGACTTAACCCTCAAGTCACTTAAACTTATTCAAATGAGCATCGACCTATGAACCAGGAGGTCACGGTTCAATTCCGGTTGGGGCATATGCCAATAGGGGGCATGCAGGAGACAGCTGATCAATGATTCTGTCTCATCATTGATGTTTCTATCTCTCTCCCCTTCTCCCTTCCTCTCAAATAATAAAAATATATATTTAAAAACAAAGTGGTATGTACCCTAAAATGGATAGAAATAGAGTGTTACAGAAGTTTAACTGCTAGTTTTTTAAAAAAATATTTTTTTTATTGATTTCAGAGAGGAGGGGAGAGGGAGTGAGAGATAGAAACATCAATGATGAGAGAGAATCATTGATCAGCTGCCTCCTGCAGACCCCACACTGGGGATCGAGCCCGCAACCCAGGCACGTGTCCTGACGGGGAATCGAACCATGACCTCCTGGTTCATAGGTCGATGCTCAACCACTGAACCACGCTAGCTGGCCTTAACTGCTAGCTTCTTAAAGTAAAATTTACTAAGTGACTAACGAATGGTAAGGGTTTTAAGACCCTTGCTAATGAAGATCCTGACTATTGTGTCAGTGGCCAGCAGAACCAGTAGGCAGTGAGAGAAGGGGTGGAGAACGAGGGATCCAACAACTCCTGATGGGTAATCTGCTATGGAGCCATTCATTGTTTATTCAGCATTTACTTTGAACACTGTACAGGGCAGTATTTCAGGCTTTGAGAGAAATAGAAAGACTGAGCCTATCCTGGAGAAACTTAAAAATCTATGGGGGAGATAATACTGGGTAAAAAAATACAAGCATATGAGAAAAAGTCATGAGTTAAGTGACTAACTCTGGTTGTGATGATTCAAGAGGGCATCATAAATGAGGCCGAGGTGATTTTATTTTTATTTTATTTTATTTTTTTCAGATAGGGAGGGAGAGAGAGAGATAGAAACATCAATGATGAGAGAGAATCATTGGTCAGCTGTGAGGCCACATTTTAATTGAACTTTAAATCATAAGTAAGAGTTAGGTGGATAGAGACAGGAGGAGGAGTGAGGTATGGTGTATAAATATATTTGTAAGGCTGTTGTGAAGAGAATTAGAGTAATGTATTCTGAAGTTGAATGACTTAATTTTCCTTTAATATTATTCATTTTGAAGAGTAGAGCTGATTTTTTTTTAAATGTAGGAGTTCTGTAATAATACCTAATGTATGTTGAGTGTATACTATATTATTAAGAGTACGTGTTCTGGATTCAGTCCTGAATCCCAGTCCCAACTTTTCGTTTATCAGTTGGGACCTTAGGCAAGCTGGTACATATATTTATAGAGTCTATAAGCATATATAAGATGTTTTTCTTTTCAGAAGATATATCCATTTTCATATGGGTGTTTTCTCTAACATAGGAAAATAATTCAATTGGCCCTCCAGGAGTATGACATGAACTTCATGGGCTTTTGCAGTTGGGGAGATGGATTTGTACTGAAATACCTTGACTAGCTATTTTTAGGGGGTACATATTTTTACTCTTCATTCTCTGTGAAGGTAATTGGTCCATGGAGGGTTGGAATCTATTACCCTCTACTCCTGAACTCCATGTTCTAACCAGCTGAGCCAACTACTAAATTAACTTGAGTGTGCTAATCATAAAGTAGTAAATTTAGCCTTATAAGAGATATAAAATATGATCTAATTCAACTCTTCCTCCATGTGGCTGGAAGGTTAACTTTATTCACTTATTAATTCATGCATTATTCAGTAGATATTTGCTAGACCTTCTATTTGCCAGGTAAGCTCATGCTCTGAAAATACAAAGAGAAATGAGAAGGTGCTCCTGCCTGCAAGGCCCCCACAATACAGTGGCAGTGGGAGAGTGAACTGCATACAAATAACTGCAAAATGTTGGGATTAAGTTTAAATAGTTCAAAGTACTGTATGCAAAGTGCTGCAAGAACATTAAGACTGGGGTGTGTAGGAAGGGCTTACAGAGATAAGCAGAATGAAGGAAGATAGTTTCTTAAGTACAAAGTGGGAAATAGGCTACAGTGTGGAGGTCCATCTGTGAGTAACTGATGGTGAGTTAGCTTCTGTCTGAATACTTTTAGATATGAGCATACTGACTCATGAGGCAACCCAGCCCATTACAGATAGTTTTGGTTCCTAGAGCAATTTCTGGCTTGAAAAGTACTTAATTATAATAGGATTGATTAGATTTGTTCCATAAAAGTATCAGGCACTGACATAAGATTAAAATACATTTTTTAATTGCGTACAGAATACCACAGGAGGTAAAAGGTTAGAGAAGTAAGAATAGAATATTTTGGTAGATGATAAAAAATATTGGATAAGTCAGAACAGTACTACAGTTGCTTTAAGAACAAGGGATTAACAAGTGATTCCCAATGAAGCAGAAGCTTTTATATTTTTATAAATTTTCTAAGGAAAAAATTAGAATGTGTTTGCTTAATTTATACAAACAGAAGAACAAAGAATGCAATTAGTAGAATTTACACTTTTTATTAATATGTTCTATCAGATTTTTTGAATTTATACATTTCAAATATCATAAAATAAGATTGAACTGATTATTACCATACTATAAAATGTAAAACTACTTAATTAATTTTTTTTTAGATACCTAACAGATTTTGAACCAATTCAGTGCATGGGTCGTGGTGGGTTTGGAGTTGTCTTTGAAGCTAGAAACAAAGTAGATGACTGCAATTATGCTATCAAGAGAATTCGTCTCCCCAACAGGTAATGTATGGTACTTTTAATCAACTTGGAGTTAGAACTGTATAACTTAATCTATAGGCAGTATGTCCTTCTTACTATACTCCAGAGAAACTATAGAAAACAGTTTCTAAACTACTGAATCTTATGTTCTAAGTGCTACCAGGTAACCAGTTGTCTAAAAGATGTGATCTACTTTGGTTGCGTTGAATCTACTTTTTAAAATATGCCCTTTTTTTAAATTTTAACAACTCAGAATTTTCCTGTAGTAATTTTAATAACTATAGATTTTAAAACTTAGCATCATTTAAAAACATCTATATTTATTGTGGAAAATAAGGAAAAGTATTAAAATAAAAATTTCTATTTTTTTTCCTACTCAGTAATAACCACTATTAACATTTTAGAGTATTCCTTTTGATTTTTTTTCTGGTCATAAGTTTACCTAATTATCAATCCAGTATAGTTTCATCTCTTGCATTGTATCCTCAACATTTTCCATGTTAATAAGAGTACTAGTATTTTATTAAAATGTTAAAATACGTTGAAAGTATTTTATAGCTGGATAATAGTCCAGTTAATACATGTGCCATATTATGTTTAATCATTTGTTATTGTTCAACATTTAAGTTTCCAATTTGTGCAATTAAAAATAACTTTTCAGTGTTCATCTTTTATATAAATACTAGAGGCCCAGTGCACGAATTCATGCACCAGTGGGGCCCCTCAGCCTGGCCTGTGAGATCGGGCCAAAACTGGTTCTCTGACACCCTCCAAGGGGTCCCGGATTGCAAGAGGACACAGGCCAGGCTGAGGGACCCCACCAGTGCACGATCGGGGCTGGGGAGGGACGCAGGGGTTGGCCAGCGGGGGAGGGACTATAGGAGGGCTCCAGGGCATGTCCGGCCTGTCTCGCTCAGTCTGGATCAGCTGGACCCCAGCAGCAAGCTAACCTACCAGTCGGAGTGTCTGCCCCCTGCTGGTCAGTGCACATCATAGTGAGCAATTGAGCGACCTTGGCATATCATCCTATCTAATAAAAGACAAAAAAGGGTAATTAACTGTACCTCCGCTACGCTTCCCATTGGCTTAATCAGCGAGATATGCAAAGTAACTGCCAACAAAGATGGCGGCCGGGAGCCACTCAGCTGAAGCGAGCAGGAGGTTTGCTTGCTCCAGTGATGGAGGAAGCCAAGGTTTACTGCCTGCTGCGGCCCGGCTCTAAGCTCCGAAAGCAACAGCTCCAAAAGCAACAAAGTTTCAATTATAGAAGATAAACAAACCCCAGATACCTGCTTTCAGCCAGCCGCGGCCTCAAAGCTGGGAGCGCCAGTGAAGGCAACAGAGTTTCAATTATAGAAGGTAAATAAATCCCAGAATCAAAAAAAAAGAAAAGAAAAAAAGGAGAGGCTGGGAACTTCAGTCACCCACCAGCCTGAAAACGGCCCTCAGCCCCTCACCCAAACTGGCCAGGCACCCCAGTGGGGACCCCCACCCTGAAGGGGGTGTGGCCAGCCTGAAAACAGCCATCAGCCCCTCACCCAGGCTGGCCAGGCACCC